AAAAAAAACACCATATTTGACAGTGGTTAGAAGTTTTTAAGTCGGTGTTGATTTTAATGCTTTAAAATTAAAACAGAACATAAATTTCTGATCAATTAAGAAACGTGAATTTTTTAAATTTAAAAACAGAAAATAAAGTTTGTAAAATAGTATAGAACTTTTTTATAAGTTACACATCCGAAATAATTAAACTTCACAAAAAAATAAGAATAGAATAAGTTATTATTTATGTTTACCATTTAAGTGAATTCCTTTGTTTTCGTTTTTAAATTTATGTGAAAAGAAACACTGAGGTCTGAAAAATTACCCTGACATTCGTCTGATATGTTTCCACCAAGAACGATACTATCGGTAGTATCGATTTTTTTCTTTCTAAACATCGAATGGAGCCACTAACGATGGTTTGCCAGCTCGATGGCATTCAATTACTGTTCTTAGAAAATTCGTATACCAAATTATTACGTATTAGTTGTATTTATTCCATTTAAATGCAGCAGTTCCCTGCAGGAAATCTATCTAACTTATAGTTAACTTAAGTTTATAAGAAAAAAATTTAGGATAATATTTATCTGTATATTATCTTTGAGTAAAGCTAACTATATTTCTATCGCGATGGCCGCGAAATAGTCAAGGGTCAAGTTACCTCTGCATTAGGTAGTAACTAACTTGTAACAAACTACTTTTGGACATAAAATATCAATAAGAAAAACTTGTATCGTTATTTTTGTTTACTTTTTCAATTATTTAATTTATTTCAAATTACATATTTGTTTATATATTCTCTGAATTGTGTCAGATATAACCTTAAATAATAACATAAAACTTCGAGCTTCATTTTATTTGTCCTGAATTCGAAAAAGTATTGGTGAAGTGCAGAAAAAAGTGTATTCAAAGCAAAATTTGTATGTGAGTATTTAAACAGAAACTTGTTTAAAGAAAAGTTACAACTCTCTTTAAGTTAGCTAATTAGCAAAAAGGCTAACTAAAAGTTAGTTATTTTTTATCAATTTTTGATTTTTTTTCTGCGGGGTTGTTGGAAGAAATCTTGTTTCGTCATACGTATATATATGCCAATTTCACAGGTTTTGTTTACATCTGAAAAGTGGTTTATTGTGCTAGTGCGCATGTTTGTATGTTTGTATATATATATATGTAAATATTTATAATGCACATGATAAAATTTATAGAAATTATGAACAAGCACTTGTACTTGAATATTTTACTTATTCGACAATTTGTCATTGCTTATTTATTTACGCTTGAGCACTTCATTTTGTTTATTTAAATTAGTTGGATATGTATGTAGTTCTTTAATTAAAATGGCGTAAGTACACTTGAGGCTTTGGTATCGGTATGCGTGCGTGTACATATGCATGTTCAAATTTTCCTTATGTGCAATCAATCACTTGACAAATAAGTTTGAGTGTGTCTCTGACATTTTCGTTAAGGAAATGGATAAAATTTACATCCAGTTTACATATGTATTTCAAGTTGCCAAGTTTATTAGCTTGGAAAGTTGAGCTCATTGTGGTTCAGCAGTTCGAAATCCTTCAAATTTTCTTAGAAAAGATGTGACTACATTGTATATTTTAATTGTATTTTGTGCAAACAATTACTACTAAGGAAAAAACGGTTGAAGGTTTACATTTGTGAGTTAACGCTTTTATATTAAATTGAATCGAGTTATATTTAATAAATAATAAGAAAAAGATACACTTAAAAAAAAATCACAAAATATCATTTTTTCCCGCCAACGGAGTTTAATGGGTGCTTAATTTGCCTTTAAGCGTTAAGCGTTCAAATATCTGAACTGGATTTTGCAGCCGACCCTTTTCAAAGCTCATTAGCGGCAGCAGTAAAGAAGGGATTACCCATTTTGCGGATGTGTTCCCAAGCAACAGCTGCTCTCTGCCTATAATTTGTAGCTTATCCTTTTTTGGTAGAAATTTCTTACACTTTGAATTTTTTTATTAATTAATGCTAATTTGCTTCTATCCATTTTGATGGCAAAATTCTTGCCTTAATAAATGTGGTTGAATAATAAACGGTTGGCTACGCCTTTTTTGGGGAATATAATAAATACTAAGCTGTATTTAAATTTGATTAAAAAATTATTTTCAGGCCTCGGGAGACTGTGAAACCGCTGCTACCTTGAAGACAAGGGTCGTAAACGATTTTTTTTATATTAGATCATTTTCATATACAAATTTTATTGAGTCATTTAACTTCTCAAACCATTCATCGTCTTTCGGCGTTCAATTATTTCGTTTAAATTTTAAAACTAAACTCATTTTTTCTAAAAAGAAATTATGCCAATTTTTCAAATACTCTATACGTACATATATTTCCGATGTTAAAAATGTAGGGACTTTTGGTGTTACGACCACAAGAAACTTGCTGTATCGACTAAACCGTGCGCCAGAAAAATTCACTATTTAGGTTCGCATACATAACTTGTGCATGAAAACACAGCAAGTCCAAAGCACATATTTAAACACAATACTAATTTGATTTATGCTCTTGTCAAGCTAAACAGATTCTTGTGTGTTTGACCTCCATAAAATCTCACAAGCTTACAACTACTTGAGTTGGATAACGTTTGCCAGTGACTGAAGTTTAATGAAAAACATGCTTTCATAAAGCGTGAATTATTACCTAAACTAATTTTTGGTCTGTCATGCCATCACAATTTATTACTTGCCACTTATTTATGTATGTGGTGGCATGCATCAAGTCATTTTATTGTACATACATACATAGTATGCTTTGTATTCACATTCATAATTAGAGCAAATAAAGTTCCTTCTTCGTAATTATTATGCAGACTTGCATGATTGTCGCACAGCGCCTAGTTAGTACAGCAAATCTTTTTCTTATTATTGAGCACCATTAATTAAAGTTTTCCTTCCAAGTCTCCATCACAAATTGCTGCCATTATATTTGTTCCGCAAGAATTTGCGTTGGATTTTCAGGTATTCCGCAGCCACATTTGATTGTCTGTACGACTTTCAATGTAAAAGTACGCTCATAAAAACAACAAATAGAATTACAAAAAAAAAAAAAAACAGCAAAGTATTTCACACCCTTGAATTATGCCAACTCATTGTTTTGTATCTTTTGCTTTGCTTTATTTTGCTACCAACATCCGTTCTTGTGGCCATTATCCTTTCGTGCCGCCACACAACTACATAGCTGCTGGCAAAAAACGGAAGTAGAGGCATCACCCATTGTTTTGCACCAGCAACAAGCAATTTTGGTTGCGGCGCAGAAAAAATATATGGAATAATTTAACAGCAGCGCAGCAACAGCAATAATGGCATTTTTTTTTTTTTTTTGAAAGCAGCTACCAACCTATTGTTTTAGCCCGATGATTGCTTGGCGCTTAAAAATGTTTTTTCCTTGAATATGACCGACTTAAGCGTAGACATACAAATAAAAGCATAGCATAAAAATAATTTAAGATAGCAAAAAATGCGTGGAAATTTACACAATAGCGGCATAACTTTTATTCTTTTTTAACCGACCTTAAAAAAGGAAGAGGTTTTATATTTTTATATTCGCCTATATATTTTTATTAAATTTTTATTTTCATATACACATTTTGCACATTTATGACTTAAGCAGATGGACTCAAGCAAAAAGGCTTACAAGCAAATCGAGCAAGAAATAACGTCAAAAATTTAGAAGCAGCTGTAAAAAGAGGGAGTTTAAATTAGTTTTTCTGGGCCTTCTTTGCATTTTTCCCCTTTTTTTGTTAGCTTTGCTCAAAGTTAATTCGCTTTGTTTAGCCGCTTTTCAATAACCAGGTGCGCTTAGGAAATGCTTTAGCTGAAAATGAGAATACTAAGGCGTGCATGCACATTAGGGTATATCATCAAAAACAGTTATAGGTTTCCAACCAGAATTAAAAAATTTATTATATTTTAGGACTTCTGCAAAATACTTAAATATTAAGATTTACGTGAACTAGATCGATTTGAAAATACCTGCGCCAAATATTCTATCATTGGAGTTAATTTTTTAGCGCTCGCATACGCACTGTCATATTTCTCGTATGCGAAATCTTATTGTAAAGAAATTTTTTTATCATGGGCATTTGATCGCATACAATTTAAGTGCGACTTTGTTGTGAGATTTTTATAGATGTTGCCAAAATTGTAGTTTTTTGCATAGTTGTGCCTGAACAACGATTATCGGGATAGAACCACTTCTTTCCTACTTGGAATAAAAGAAAATGTGAGAAAATAGTTGCTTAATCCATAGTTAGGTATGCGATAAATAGTATGAGAATTCTCTTAATTTATATCGTATACTTTCTGTGATGAGCAGCACAGGTAGTAAGTATAGACGCACAGTGGCGGACCTAAATCCGATTCACTTCTTCATACTTAAAAACTGTAAGCTCTGTCAATACTACAGACCTTTCACTCACTTACTCAGTCACCCTTCGGCACCTTTTTGCATTAAACTTAATTTTGCTTGTAGAAAATGTTTCGCCCTAAATAATTTGTTTCTAGAGTTAATCAACTAAACCTAAAAAATTAGCAAAAAAAAAAAATTTGAAGTGTTAAAAAAAATTTCACCAAAATTAAAAAAAAATTTTTTGTGTCCAGAAGAATTTTGGGCATGCAGTCTTATAGATCATTAAATTTTAGTATAACAAATTGCAATTTGCAATTGGCTAAAGGGACACGTTGATTTTTAATAATTTATTCGCTAAATTTCGTGCACTTCTGCATGCTAAATGGGAAATAAAAGAGTTTGTTATATTATTGAGAATCAACGCGAACTCTTAGCCACTTGAAATTTGCACTTTATCATACTAGAATTTAATGGTCTATAAAACTGCATACTCAAAATTCGTATAAAAATTTTGTAATAATATTGAAATCTTTTTTTTTTTACTTTCTTCGTTTTGGTAGAACCCTACAATTGTTTTCAACAGGAGAATCGATTTTCTTCAAAGTTGCTACTTTTTCTGCACTTTGCACAAAAAAGTTAATAAACAAAAATTTAAAATTTCGGCTCAGCTGGTCTTTTGCAAATTTAATTAGCTTTCATTAAAAGAAATGAATAAAATTTGCAAGAAAAATGAAGACTCTAGTGAATTGTGAACACTACATTCCAGGTTGGAACCACTGTGCGATAGACGTACACCGACTTACATAAATATATAAGTATTGACGTGCACGCAAGCCTTGTAGGTCAAACTAGCTACTAGCTCACCTCATTAGCGGATGATCTGGTTAATGTGCTTTTCTTTATTTTATCTTCCATTATTTTCTTACCTGCACAGCCTTTCTTCTCCCCTTCATGACATCAGGATCGTTGGTTATATGCTCTTCGATTATAAAACGTGATTTATCAAAAACTCTATTTTTAAATTTACTCAAATAAATTTGGTGGTCTTCATTGTCAGGATCGATTGCATGCTCACTCGATTTTCCAGCATCACTGCTTGAAGAGAGAATTTTTGATTGAAGAGAGATGAATTTCTATTTTAATGAAATTAAAATAAATTGGTGGCTAAATGTTTGTATAACGGTTTGTAAAATACACATTAGCGCTGGGACAATCCACATATCCGGATATTCGTTCGAATATTCGTTATTTTATTGTTATTTTTTAGATGTAGCATTTGTTCGCTGATATTCGTTCGTTTTGTCATCCGGCTATTCGAATTTTTTAATCAGATATTCGAAAATCCGGATAGAACTCTCAGCCCTAATACACATGAATAATTTGCCAAAATAAATTTATTTTGTACTTACACCAGCGTTGCGTAATTGTCGGAGGAGAGGTTCATAGTGAGTTGATCTTTCATTTTGCGTAGTCGTTCACCTGCCTCTGCATATTTTGTACTCAACTGTGACGACCATTCACGAAACACAGCTAAAATTTTTGTCATTCGACAGCTCTGTTCGAAAGAAATGGAAGTGATACATTAAAAAGTGATTGAATAACGCGTTCGCAGCTTGATTTGGTAAGAAATAACCAGATTTAAACTTCCGTATTCAAGCAGAATTTCAAACCTAAAAATTAATTTTTCAACCGCACTTACCTAATTTGGCGTTTCCTGTTCCAGTTGTATCTCTCTCAGCTTCTGTGCTCGGTTCATGAAAACCTCCAAATGAGGTTTTGTTGGATTTGCATTTCGTTTAATGCTTTGAAGATAGCGATTAAATGCATTACTGAGCTGTAAATACTCCTGGGAGGAGCGTTCGATGGAATTGTTCTGCCTATCACTTAACAAATTCCTGTAAACAAACCTAATAAGGTATTCATCAAATCTTATAAATGCATTATAAACCGTATAAAATTATAATTGTGTAAACTTTGCAAATCAACTGTCAAAATTTGTATGGAAACTCGTTTATAAACTTCTGATAAATTTTTTCAACGATTTCACGGAATAACCTTGATAAACTGAAGCCAATGCAATTCTGTCGCAAGTGTAAACGAAAAGAGCGTTCATGCATCAGAGCTCATAAATTTATGAGAATATCAGCTTGATAAAGTTATCGGTAAATATCAATACTGAACGAAGACGGTTGTAAAAATACCGAAATCGTGAAAACAATGGGGGTAAAAATTTATTTAAAACTTAGAGAAGCGAACATTTTTGGGCCTTAATCAAACTACGCATAATGGTTAGTATTCATACATGGTAGTAAAATTCCAATAGAATTTTTCTCTATCTCATCATTATATGCTGGGACCTGTTGGACTCGGTGACTTATAGCCCATTTCCACCAAGGGCTTAACTGGAATTCTGACAATCGCTACGCTAAATTTTTGTCGCTAAAATTATCTATGTAAATGAAAAGCAGTGGGGCCTAAAAGTATACAAAATGTAAGAGCTTTCAAATGCTTGTACTTGTTATGAGCAATTACCCCCCTCGAGTTATAATCGCCTTTTTTCCAATAGGCATTAACTGCAGTTAAGTCTTGGCGGAAACTCTTACCCTCGTACCAGATAAATATAATACAGCGTATGAGGTGGAATAGAAAACAATATATTTTGGTTACCCTGTCTCAATGCTTCCCTACTTTACAAATTTAATAGTGCATAATTATAGTAGAAGCTCATATTTAGTAAAACTAGTTAAGAAACTATTAAAAAGTTTTGAAGAAAATAAGTTTCTTCGCTCTTTCGGGAAATTGTCGGATTATCTTATACGTGGTATTGCTTTTTGGCGGATACGAAGTATTGCGCGCCAAGCGACGATATACATACTTTATTTTATGTCGTTCTGCTTTTCTGAAAAATGTATGATTTTTACTAGGAGGGCCCCATGCCAAGAATTTGCCACGGGCCTCAGATGGTATAGTTGCGCCACTGAATCAGGTGCACTAAGGTTCTAAGCGCAGGAGCGTCTTAATGTTTTCGCCACTTGACTCTAGTCAGGCGAGTTTTCGGCTGTCGCTGTACTTAGTTTGTGAAATTCTCCCAAATAAATGAGTCCAATTATTTTTATTTTTACCCCGAGTGTTGAAATGCGCTGTGCAAAATTCATATTAAAAAATTCTCTTTAAGCGGAAATCCGTGCGCCAAAATATGAGTAGAACTTTTTTCATATTTATACCAAGTCAGCGAGCAAGGGGGAATATGTGAATATTATGCATGTGTGCGCTGAAATCTAAAAGCGTAGATGCTTGCATTCCTGCAAACATTCGTACATAAGTTTATAGCATTTACGTCAACTTTTAACCATTCACATTGACATTGACTTGGCGGCAAACAGCTGCATTTTGTTAAATTTGAAAGTTTATGCAATTTTTATGAAAAAAAAAAACACATTGTAAACAAGTGAACTGCGCAGAATACTTATCTTAATGCTGTCAGCAAGGGGCACAAGCGAAGGACGAAGCGTAGGAAAGGAAAACTTATAAAGCTTGGAAAATGTCTTGTAATGTGAGAAAATGATTGCTGTACGAACTGGCGTTGCATTTCACTTCAAGTCATCGTAATGAAGATGTTAAGTCAGCCAAATGAAGCTGGATGCACCATTCCAGCGCGCGCGCGGGGAAGTATGTAGCTCAGTGGCAGTATTGGCTGCTGAATCTACATATTTATGTACTTACTTAAGCTTTACAGTTATTTATTTACTTGCTTTTGCGAGTTCACTTAAAGCAAATTTCTTGATTAGAAGTCCCGCCGGCATTGTTGTGTAAAATTAGTTGCAATAATTGGTGGGTGCTGTCTTGAAAATATATTATTTCAAATTTTGCACCTTTTATTTATCCCACAAGTGTATATACTAGGGTGATCGATTTGATTTTTCGATTCCGGTTTCCACCGTTACTTTTGGATATCTATAGGCGGTTCTTTTGAAATCATGATTTTTCGAACACAGAATGAACTGAATTCTTTTTACCTAACAGAAGCTTTTTTATGGCAGAAGTACACTCAGAGGTTTGCTATTGTCTGTTGAGGGGCGATTGCTATTTGAAAAAAACTTTTTCTTTGGCCTCCCGAGTGGCAGTAGGCCACTCTAAGCACTCGGCTACGGTGGGAGGGGCATTAATCAAATCCGAAAAAAGTAAGAAAAATTTTAAGTATTAAAAAGTAAAAATAAGACGAAGCGTTAATTTTTCAGAGATTTTCATTTTGATCTGAAAAAAAAATAAACAGTCCAGCGCCTTCACCTTGGTCTGCAGGCTGTATTGGAGACACAGCCGCTAAATTTAAACGTAGAATACGTGGTATGGTTAAGAGCACATCCAAGTCAAAAACGAAAGCACACACTAAGAAAAAATATCGATAACTAATGCGATAATAATATCGATAGCAAAATCGATAACAAAATCGATAAAAACATCGATAACAACACCGATAAAAGATATCGAAAACAAAATCGATAATAATATCGACAGCAAACTCGATAGCAAAATCGATAACAAAACCGATAAAATATAGATTATTATATCGATAAGTCTCGAGAATTCCGAAAATCCCGAAATAGTCCCCAGACTGAGTCTCTGTCTATATTCTTTGCTCTATAATTACCTTTATTTTAATCTTTCTTCCTCTATCTTCATCTTTACTTTTATTGGTATCCTCATCCTCATATTTTCTTTATATTTATCTTTGTTTTACTTTTATGTTTATCATATTCTTCATCTACATATTCCCCTTCACCTTTGCCTTTTATAAATATTGCGCCATTCAAAAGCTGTACTTTTTGTCTCCTTCCCTCACTTCCAACGCCTGCACGTGTTTGCAAAACGATGACGAAGTGATTTTGTATGAAAAATTATTTGAATCATATATTTGAATCAAATTAGAAGATATCAGCCAATACTTCCTATATACCAAATGAAAGGAAAAATCTTGAGTTTTTGATTAAAGAAAACAAAACAAAATCATTCGAGCGGTTTTCGAGCATTTTGGAAAAAAAAACTTGCGAATTTTTCAAAAATTTTTAGCATTAAAATGCGCAATATTTGTTGAACTTATATACAATTTGTACACAATAATATTTCTATTGCTCCCAGGAACCTATATCCCGAAAATGAAAATTTTACCTGCAAATCGTTAGATGCTAGAGCACTTTAAAGGCTCAAAATCGATCCCGAAATAAGCCAAAATTTGCCGTTGTTTCTAAGACAGGAACCGAATTGGTTACTTACAAAAATGAATGTGTCGATAGGTTTGGAATCATATCTTTGAAACGCCACACTTTTCTTCTTCTCTAAAAATTACTACTACAAATTACAACGAAACGTAAGACCTATTCTACGTCAATGAATGAAGTGTTAAAAAGAATAAAATTATTCCAATATCGCCTGAAGCGATAAGAAAACGACTCATTCAGGTAATAAGAAAAGGAGTTGGTTTCGGCGGACATTTTAGAGCGACTGGTATTAAGAAATCGATACAATGGCGATTTTACCGGCAATAAATTTGTTTCCGAGGGCGACACGTTTTCTTATTGCCGGCAACAAAAATTGTTTGTGGGATGTATCAGTATGTACACATAGTATATATTAGCGGCAATCATAAAGTCATTTGATATGAATGCCTGCAAGCATATATCAGTTTACGTATATGTACATACGTATGTATAAACGTACTACTTACTACATACGCAAATAATTAGATGTTTGGTTTTATTAATGCACCCTATTCGTCTACTATGAAATTGAATGCGACTTCAATTAAACTTATTAATCTTTAATTTCCGTTGAATAGGCAAAATATGCCGGCAATTACCAACAGTAAACAGGTTGATTGACTAACTGACTGTCAGCCGTGTGAATGGATAGGCAGACTGAGGGTGGTTTCATGCTTGCTAACAAAATATTACACGCCTCAGCTGAAAGGACTTCCAAACATGCAAGCTTGTTGGCAAATACGTGTTTACGAATGTATATATGTATGTACATTTGTGCAAATGTTGGTATAATAATTTTCTGCTTCAATTATTTAAGTCCACCATGTGTTGCAATCAAAGTTAGCTGTTAATTGATACTGTCAAAATACTGTTAGACACATGTACTTCATCAGTACTGCTGATCGTCTTTGGTAATTACTTTGATAGTTAGCATATCAGTAAGTTCGCAAAGATTAGAGCATATTCAATAATTCAAGTGCCACAGTGTGGCCTATACAAGTTCAAGGTTAGAGTGATGATGAGGTTTTCTTATTACATTTCGATCAATATTTGACTTGTGCACCTTGAGACTCGGAGGGAGACAAGAAACTGATCTGCATAATTGAATAGAAGTCAACTTAGATTCTTTAACAAATTTCAATCACCAAACATTTGATTGGTTTTAGCTGCCTTCTTAGCGAATTCACGTACGGTGACTGTTTAATGCGCGTAGCGCAAGTTCTTCTCACTTGTTGGTGTAGTATGAAACTTTATCGCAAGACATACTTTGCTGCCAAGAATTATATGTATACAGTCAGCGTCAAAAATATGAATACCCTTACGTTGTGACGATTTTATTTCTTAATATTTTCCATAAATTTTTATTTTTTTATTTTTTTATAAAAATATAGTTCATTCAGCTGAGAAAACCATCAGAATCAATTTTTAAGATTTCATATAGAACTCGGGAAAATTCAAGAAACGCTAAACAAAATTTCAACTTTTCAATTCCATTTATTTTTATTTTTTGCAAGAGTGTTGTGCATTTTCTTCCATATAATGCATGGACTGAATCTATTTTTATATGGAAGAAAATACGCAACTCCCGCGTCAAAAAAAATCTCAAAAATCAACGGTAATTTTTA